TATGAATTTTTCCCAGTTTATAACTTCTAATATAAAGTGCTGATTAATAGTTTACAAGTAAAGTGTTCTAGGTGAAAAGAGGATAATAATAATAATAATAATCAAGGGGGAAGCGCTAAACCCGGAGGATTATACAGCGCCTGGGGGGATGTGGAAGGCATCAGGCTTAATTCGGGGAACTGGGCATAATAACCTATGGAATTCTGAAGCTGGACCGTTTTAAAACTTAAAACTAGCTGTCATCATAATCTTAACATTAGTATCACCACTAATACCATTCTTACACGAGATGAATAAACAACAGACCCACAACTGTCTTCAAGAGGGAACTGAATCCTTAGTTGCTTCCTGATCAACAGAGTCGTGGTGCCTACATTGTAATGAAAGTGTTGCTAGCATTAACATGACTGATCAGAACCATTCCACTAGTAGGCCAGGTCCCTGGGACCTGGCTGCTGGAGGGGCAAGCGATGACCTCTGGAATTAAGAGCAGGCAAAACACTATTTTCACTAACCGCATTATCACTTTTTATCAAGGTATCAAAACTAACGGCTTCCAGCCTCATTCAGTATAACAGTTATCTTTAACCACTAGCGTCTAGCGTACGGGGTAAAAAAAAAAAAAAAAAAAAAAAAAAATATTCAGGCAGGCTTACATGCTTGATTCCAGGAATTAAAAGCCTGAATACCAACTCCTTTGATATAGCCCCTCACCATCATGAAGGAAACTCTTGAGGGGTGTTAGTGAACAACATTTTAACAGTAAAAACGTAAATTGCATTACGAGTCTTTACCACTGGCTTCAGTAAGTCATTTAGGTACAGGCACACACAAGAACAATTATCATACACTGAATTATTTTGTAACGTATAAATTACCGAGGCCCCCCCCCCCCGGCAACGCTTATTTTGAAACTTCATTCACAACCAATCATTATCCTAAGAGTTGTGGCAGTTACACTACTGTATTCAATGAATACAACATTACAATTGCGACTATTCCAAGCTCAATAATCATTAATTTCATCCCCGGCTATCATGTCATCCCGTCGCTATCTTCAACATCCCTCCCCTCCTACTTTCTCTAGTGCTGCGTCACTTCAGCCTGTGTTCACAAGACGCCAGGAGACAAGCAACCCAACACACTGGCCTCATAATACCTTCACGTGATAAAAATAACCCAGACACAAGGAAGCGTCAACTAAAAGCCAAGATAACGTTGCCTCCGGTTAAGTGGTACGGGCTTATGGCCCTTCACTTCGCTTAAGTCCCGCATTCTCATTAACCAAGTTTGTCGTGCAAAGATTAACTTTTAATTTTCAAAACAGCTGCTTTATCCTAATGGGGGTTAAATTACTAGCCAAGCGTGCAGATTGTGAAGTATTGATGTAGGCCTGGTCAACTCTCCCGCCTCCACTTGCATATCACCCTCCTGGCTTCTCATTGGCTGCCTCACAATGATGTCACGAGGGCAAAGCAGGAGTGGGGGCTATTGATTGGTAGAGGTGCGCGTGACGTCAATGGGAGGGGCCCGGTTTCCTACCACCCCATTGGTTGCAGCCAACTCTCACTCCCACAATACTGTCGTATACCAGAGGATGCAAAGGGGGGGGGGGGGGGAAATAACTCACAGCCAGTCACATGCGCCAGAGCACCACAATGTTACTAGTTCCTAATTTAACACGCTCATACATTAAAACAAGTATTCATTATAGATTTACACGAGTAGATGGCACAGTATACGGCAAAAATATTCTCCCAAAATTAAACCAGGGGGCAACAGGTACACACAACTGAATGTAGTATCCAAGACTTACCAACACCTCCTTTTAATTAAATACACAGATCACTGATTTGTTTCGGTCGCTGCTCGATCCGAGAAGATACCCCCAAAACCAGCCTCCTGTACCTCAATGCAAACAAGAGGTATTGTATTATGTCCAAATATTATTTCTTTATGTGATACAAAAGTAATGTAGTTTAATATAATAAAGCACTGGTGGGCACAAAAGAAACTAGTACGCATTGCATTTCATGAAAACTAATCCTAATGCTAGACTACTTAAGACTGACTCAAGAGGTAGAGGAGCCGCAGGAAAAAAAAAAAAGACCCCAGAGCTATAACCAACTCTCCCTAGAAATGCAGGAGTTGGAGATAAATACTTTTTAAGAGCCCCAGGAGTTTCAGTTCAACACAATGAAGTCTACCATCTGTAACTTAACATCCTCAAAAAAGCCCAAGTGTACATCGACACCCGTAAGTAACCTATCAGTATCAATTAATATTGGTTCTTGAACGTTATCGCAGAGAAACCACTATCACTTTCATTAAACTTACCCAAACTGATCTCTCCAATTATGCAGGAACCAATATCCCAATTTCTTTAACAAATTGGATTTTGTATTTCAGAGCCCACTAACCTTCCTACAAGGAAAATACATCAGCGCTGAAGACTTAAGTCGATCCAAAGTGTCATTTTCAATTTATCGCACAAAACAAATATTCTACCATTACGTAAAATAACCAAACTGGCATTTACACAACCCAAAAACAACCCCAACCGTCGTCTAAGATACACCAATTCTGAAGTTTAAAGGCAGTCATTCTCAAGTTATCACACGGAACCCTCGGATAACTTGGGGTAATAAACTAATCAGTTATATGACCGGCTTTTTTTTTTTTTTTTTTTTTTTTTTTTTACACAGGGTTTGACAAGGTTAAGGATCCCTAGCTTTATTGACAAGCTATTTACAGGTTAAGGATTCCTAACTTTATTGGCAAGCTAAGAGCTGTTACCTACATCAGCTCATTTGAAAGCATTTTTATTATGAGACATACAAGTAGGGAACAGGATGAAGTTGGAGCCATCTGTGGGCCAGCATTTTCATTTGATCAACTGACTTTGATCTCGTTGACATCATTATGCTGTACAAATGTGTTCCATACTCGAGTCATCCTGGGTATATATGATCTCAGATGGAGTGATGTTCTGGAGAAGGGTACAGCCAGAGTGAGGTTGCCGCTTTCTGCCCGTCTTGTGGCATAAAAGCTTGTTTCACACTGTCCTCGAAGTGGATCCAAGTGTGGCACTTGGACAATATTGGCCTTGTACATAACAGTAAGGCCACCCACATCCCTCCTACGTTGAAGGCTCTGCTGAAATGACAGATCTATCCAGGATGGGTCCAGGCGAGAGATGAGACGTCTTGCTTTGTTCTCTACTCTGTCAAGCAGTCGCAGATGAGAGGGGGGGCAGGCAAACCAAGAAAGTGGAGCATATTCAAGGTGTGAGCGCACTTGTGCCTCGTACAGAATCTTGCAACCCCTACTGTCAAACCGATGCGAGATTATATTACATTATATTAATTACTAATTTATTACGTTAATAAATTTTCAGCCATTCCATAAGATGCATCAGCCATTAAAGACTGAAGTCATTCAGATGACGCGTATGCAAGTTATTTCATTAAAATACCACCACCTCACACACACACACACACACACACACACACACACACACACACACACAGACAAAATACAAACCAATACAACTTTTAATCATTACTGATGGCATACAGTATCGCCAAATTTATGAACAAGACATTTGCATGTCTCAAGCATCAACAATTCGAATCTTCTACTAAGGATACAAAACTCTTTAAAGTTAGGAGGCTAACCAGAGGACGTTTCAAGTTTATCACACAGAATCCACAACTAGAACTGGTCTATACATTCCATCCTAATAGTTTAATGAACGTTTTTCTCTAGTCATGGTAAAGCAGAGTGGAAAATTTTAAGCCGATCGAATGAAGCTTTCTCAAGTTACAAATGAAAAGCATAAATAAAGAAAAAAATACCTAATTATGTGATCCCTGTCTTCAAAAATGGGGACATCACAAAGCTTTATAAAAAAAAATCAAAGTATGCCGGTAGTACAGATTAAATTTTGCAGCTCCATCAGCTAGGTTACGGTGCCCCCAGTATCCATCCTGTGGAGGGTAGCGCAAAAGTATAGGAACACACAGGGCCTAGCAATTAGGCCCCAAAAAGACTTGTATCTACAATTTGTCTCATTTGTTGCAAGCAAATTTAAGACATCTGCTTAATATGTATCTTACCTTTATTAATAAGATACACTGACAATCACATACATTATACTGTATTTCTATATTCGGGATTATTGTACTATATTGTGCTGCATGTATAATTGCTATAGGAAGGCATTAAACCCATAGGGGTCATACAGTGCCCGAATAACGCGAGGCAATCATGTTCAAGGAAGGGGAGGACAAGTCCACTTCGTTGAATCAAGAGCCCCTCACCAGCCTTAAGAGCCTCTTCCTTGAGGGGTGGACCGCATGAACCAAGTACCGACAACCTGTCTGCCTACGCCAATGGTTCTCATCCTCGGAGTCGGGAATGATAACTAATGATCCCAGAATCCATCACCGGGAAGGCAACCATCAGTGCCAGCAACCAATGGTGCATGCATCCAAGGGGTATAAGCAACCAACGGTGCATACAACCAGGGTTGTAAGCACCCAATATTAAGCAAGCGTGTCCTAAGAAAATTACCCATTCATGGCTAGATGATTATATATTTTTTAAATAAGCAGTAATCTTCACAGTAATGTTCACTGTCGCAAGACAGCCGTGCTTACTGTGGGGAAAACCTTATGTTATAATTTCAAGGTTCAATGTTGTAACATTGTTGTGCTCACTGCTGAGAGAACCTGTTACAATATTTACCCAGGAGTAATTTTAATACACGACTACTTTATGTAATCAATGTCAATGGAGGGAAGAGAGGACAAAAAGCAGAAAGGAAATTAATATATATATATATATATATATATATATATATATATATATATATATATATATATATATATATATATAAACTACAGCTGTGACTCGACCCCTGCAATCATACACAGTACGTACGTACGTACATACAACATACACAAACGCTTACTTACGTTAATATCTGATGTACTCACCATTTTAGCAAAGGTTTGTTGATCATAGTGGTCAGGAGCAGCAACAAACACCTGCTTCATGAAGGGTTCAGAGCCCCGGGCCACCTCTCCCAGCACTGAGCGGTCCGTTGGTACACTCCGCCAACACAACACCTGCCAACACATACAATAGTAAGGTAACAACATAAAGACTGTTTACACACGCATTTAAATAATCCTTACACAGGCACATCTCCATAATCCTTACACAGGCACATCTCCATACACCTTGCACAGGCACATCTCCATAATCCTTGCACAGGCACATCTCCATAATCCTTACACAGGCACATCTCCACGCAAGCAAGCAAGCACTCACTACTGTGCGTGCACTTGTAAAAAAAATTAAATAAATTATGTTCTTCACCTGTGTGGTGGTATTCAATAAGTTGAAGCAGTTGTAGTAATTTTAGATGTCTTAGTAGTTAGATATGCCAGTAATACAAGTTGTAGCAAAGCTATTATTAGCTGTGGTGCTAATTGTAGCAGAACTAGTAATAGATGGTCCTTTAATCATAGCAAAAAAAATATATTAAACACGTAACTCAACCATTTAAAACAATGTTAACGCACACAATGTCCTACAAACACAAACTAACGTAATTTTTTCCGACTGTTTTAATTAAACGACGCATCTCCATACCTTCGGAAGCATGCAGAACATAATTGATGACAATAACACTAAAGTGCCATATTTCATAATGCTCTGTATCCCTGAAGTCTTGGGAAAGAATCCCCCATAACCACTTTACAGATAACTACGTTTATATTACTGACAGTCACTTAGCTACTTTATGTTATTTACAGTCACTTGGCTACTGCGTCACCACTACATGCGAGAGAGCACCCAAGTGCCACATTTCAGTCATACACTGGAATACTGACAATAGACACTGCTTTGAGAGCTGTATCAGTTTTCACCTCTAACTTGTGTGAAATACTGACGGCTGCCTTTCTCATTAACCTACTAAGTAGGTAGGTAGGTTGGCAGTTTTGAAATCTAAAAGAGCGCTTTGACCGTGTACATCATTCAGCAGTCTTGACAATAAAAATAAAAAAAATACTTTTATAAACAAACATACCACAACAAAAATACTACAACACCAAGTTAAAATAATCAGCATGAACTGAAAACTTTCAGTAAATTACTAATGTCACACGATTAAGGTTCCGAAATCCTACAAGTACCCGGTAATTATAAAAGCACAACGAAATAAAAAAGGCCTACACCATGGGCATTTATGATGTTTCACAATCAGCTACATACCATGAGCTACACATAGGAAAAAAAAAGCAGCAAGAGCACTTGCAAACTCGTTGCTATGGATGAATGTGTGCCTCCGATCTTCAATGGACAGATTCACCCTCAGTGACTTATTGTTGAAGGACAAAGGCCAAATTCCAACGTCCTGCCAAATCCTGTATAGCTTGTTTCTTGTCTGTAGGGTAAACCCGACCCACCACTTCCCAAGGACACAGCTATGTATACAGCCAATAAATTCACTAAGGAATAAGTCTCCTATATTAAGAATTCGTTATAACAGTGTTTCTCTCAGCATCTTCTCTTTCGTTTCCCGGGGCACCAACCTAACCTGGCTACCAACAAAACTAAACATCCTTGTGCCATAAATCTAGATGGACTAACCGTTGCTTCTTTCCCAGTATGAGTTTCTCCACCTTGTGGGTGGGCATAAGCATACTGGGACAGGGCAAACAGCACACTGGTAATCTTGAGTACACACCGAACCAGGACCCAACTAAGAGAGAATTGCGTTAAGTTCCAAATTGAATATAGAGGACTTCTCTTAGTAGTTGTGTGCACTAGGATTCCTCGCTGGAATCGTCTGGGCCCACGGACGTTGATAGTATGTTCTTTTATTGTGCCTATATTAACTAGGTTTACTTTATTATGTCACCCATGGCTGCCTTCAACAGAGAGCTGGACAGATACCTGAAGTCAGTGCCGGATCAGCCGGGCTGTGGCTCGTACGTTGGACTGCGTGCGGCCAGCAGTAACAGCCTAGTTGATCAGGCCCTGATCCATCGGGAGGTCTGGTCATGGACCGGGCCGCGGGGGCGTTGATCCCCGGAATAACCTCCAGGTAACCCACATCTCCCATCCCAGTACGATGTTATGGCAGTGAGCAAATTTGGGACCAAGACCTCAAGCACCGTCTATGTACGTGTATAAATACAATATATATATATATATATATATATATATATATATATATATATATAAATGCCACACGTTTCCTTAAAGAATTGGGTTCCAGACTCATCGACACCACCAGGGACCCAAGGGCAGCCACTTTCATGTTCCAGCGCCTCAGCGTCGCCATCCAGAGGGGAAATGCTTGCTGCATACTTGGCTCACGTCCAGCCTCGGAGGAGCTGGAGGAAATTCATCATCTTTGATACATTTTTCCATTGTATTCATGTTTATGTTTTTTTCTGTAAATGTATTTTGTTTATTAATATATATATATATATATATATATATATATATATATATATGTGTGTGTGTGTGTGTGTGTGTGTGTGTGTGTGTGTGTGTGTGTGTGTGTGTGTGTGTGTGTGTGTGTGTGTGTGGGGCCGAATATGTAAAACTGGTCAATTAGCAAGAACTCATTTAAAATTAAGTCCTTTCTGAAATTTTCTCTTATACGATTAAAGATATATTTTTTTCATTAATGTTAATGTAAAAATTTTTAATTTTGCTCCAAAAGAAAACTTACCTAACCTTATTATAAATAACAAAAAGGCACAATACCGTGACTGGAACGATACACAAATAACCCGCACATAAAAGACAGAAGCTTACGACGACGTTTCGGTCCGACTTGGACCATTGACAAAGTCACACTAACAGAGGAGGAGCAGGACGGCTATATATAGGCAGGAAGAGGTGGAGGTAGTAGTAGTGGTAGTAGTAGTGGTGGTAGTAGTAGTACAAGAATTGTATATAATACAATTGTATTATATACAATTCTTGTACTACTACCACCACTACTACTACCACTACTACTACCTCCACCTCTTCCTGCCTATATATAGCCGTCCTGCTCCTCCTCTGTTAGTGTGACTTTGTCAATGGTCCAAGTCGGACCGAAACGTCGTCGTAAGCTTCTGTCTTTTATGTGCGGGTTATTTGTGTATCTAACCTTATTATAACAAGAGCAATTTATTTTAGCATAACCCAACTAAATATATTTTAAATATGTTTACAATAATTTAGTACTAAACAAACAAAATCAAATATATTTTTTTAGTTAGGTTCAGAATGGTTTTGGCGAAATTATTGCATACACAAATTTTCACTTGTCCTATATGGCAAGATGAGCGTTGCTATTTAAGCCAAGATCGCAAGTTCTGCCTATTCGGCACGACTTATATATATACATCATCCAGTACACCTAGTACATATTTACGACTCCGAGGCGTTCCTAGTAATTTAAATGACTTACTAGCTTCATACAGGCCATAAATGATCTCTTCTGTCACGAACAGAGCCGTCAACACTAAAATTGAGAGATAAGGAGAGCAGTCGAGATTTGGAAAGCATCACCTTTGGCACTTATTCCACTGTTTTTGAAGTTCATCATCCACTCAATCATTTTCCTGGATTTCGCGATCTTTGTCTTATTGTATTCTTTGGAAGATCAGCGGATATTATTACACACAAGTTCTTCATGTATCTTCCGTTCTATTAAATGCTGATTACTTTTGTATACAATGTTCCTTTTTAGTTCTTTTTTCCATATTTAAGAAGTTGGAACTTGTCACCACTGAACGTGCATATATAATTACAGCCTATTTCGACAGTGCCACTACTAGCCCATACTAGGATTAAACTAGTACACCATCAGTCACCACAAAGAACTCAGTAAGTGTTAAGGGACCACGACTCATGAGGGAGGATTGCCAACAAACGCCTAGCGGTCTTTAAGAGGTAACTCGACAGGTTTTTCAAAACAGTTCCTGATAACCGGGCTGCGGTGCTTACGTTGGACTGAGAGCGACAGGCACCAACAGCTCGATCAGGCCAGCAACCAGGAGGCCTGGTTTGGGACTAGGCCGCCGGGGCGGTGGCCTCCGGTAGTGACTCCAGGTAAACTGGTGACTTCCAATATAATTTCTACCACCAGACAGCAACCGGATGTACCAAGCAGATATCAACAGTTTACGAGTGAGCATATGAAAATAACATGATGTTCAATAATAGCAAATTCCAACTGTTTAAATATGGAAAGAATGAATGAAGAACCAACAAAGATCACTGGATGCAAAACAGCAGAATGATCTCTTGGAACCAAAGGAACACAGAAATGACTTCGGTATAATTTCAGATGAACTATCATTTAGAGAAAACATTAAGGCAAACGTCGGGTAGATGAAGAACTTTCAAAACAGTAGTGACATTACAACCAGATGGCCCATTAGTTCCAATCCGGACTACCTAAACCGAATGAAGGGGTGGGTGCTGGTTCACAGGCTGAGCTGCTCAAACCTCCCCACCAAGTTAAAGGAACCCAGCGTTAGTAGGGGTTGGGGAGGGTGGAGGAAGCTGAACCTGCAGAGTTTTCATGGTTTTAATGCAGACCAGCAGAAGCGAAGGTCAAGTTGCATGAGTCTGCATGAGTCACATTGCGGCATATAGCGTGCACACCTCAGGGAAGGTGGACGGGGGAAGGAAGGGAAGGGGAGGAGAGGCGAAGAGGGAGGAAGTAGAAGGGAGAGGGGTAAAGGAGGAGGAGGTGGAAGGGAGGGACGGAAGGTGGGAGGGAAGTGGTTAAATGACTTTGGTGGTCAGACCGGTGGAATGGGGTTGCAGACCTGCGACCTTCCCCAGTTCCTCTTTATGACCATGGTTCTCATGTATTTACACATCTGCATACATTAATAATGATTATGATCACCACCAATAATAAAAGTAAACTGATTTCCTGGAAGCGGACTGTGTTTATATATATATATATATATATATATATATATATATATATATATATATATATATATATATATATATATATATATATATATATATATATATATATATATATAAAGTAGCTTTAAACCTATGAGCCAGTGACAGCAACAACTTAGTTGATCAA